ACTATCATTAATTATTAACATAATGTATATTCTTTATTTGTATTCTCAGGTTTCTAGTTTTTCCAGTTGCCATTTATCTCCAACTCCCATTTCATTATAGTTTATTTTCATTTTTCCCAATCCTGGCATTGCAATCCTTCTCCAATTCTATCATTCTGTTACTATTACCAAACAAGGAATGAAGCCTTGCCCCTCACCATTCCCCTCACCACCCTTACCTTGCCCCTCACCATTCCCCTCACCACCCTTGCCTTGCCCCTCACCATTCCCCTCACCATTCCCCTCACCACCCTCAGCTTGCCACTCACCACCCTCACTTTGCCTCTCACAACCTTTCCTTGCTGCACATAACCCTCAACTTGCCCCCTCACCCTGCCCCTTACCACTCTCACATTGCCCATCACCACCCTCACCTTGCCCTCACCATGCCCTCACAATCCTTATCGTGCCCCTCAACACTCTCACTTTGCCCTTGGACCTCATCACTCTTATATTGCCCCTCACCCCCTTAATCATGCTTCACACCGCCCTCACCTTTCCCTCACCACCCTCACCTTGCTACACACCACCCTCACCTTGCTGCACACCACCCTCACCTTGCTACACACCACCCTCACCTTCTACACACCACCCTCACCTTGCTACACACCACCCTCACCTTGTTGCACACCACCCTCACCTAGCTACACACCACCCTCACCTTGCTACACACCACCCTCACCTTGCTGCACACCACCCTCACCTTGCTACACACCACCCTCACCTTCTACACACCACCCTCACCTTGGTACACACCACCCTCACCTTGCTACACACCACCCTCACCTTGCTACACACCACCCTCACCTTCTACACACCACACTCACCTTGCTACACACCACCCTCACCTTGCTACACACCACCCTCACCTTGCCTCACACCACCCACATCTTGCTACACACCACCCACACCTTGCTACACACCACCCACACCTTACTACACACCATCCTCACCTTGCTACTCACCACCCCCCCACCTTGCTACACACCACTCTCACCCATGCCTCACACCACCGACACCTTGCTACACACCGCCCTCACCGGTGCTACACACCACCCTCACCTTGCCTCACACCACCCACATCTGCTACCACACCCACCACACCTTGCTACACCCCACCACACCTTACTACACGCCATCCTCACCTTGCTACTCACCACCTCACCTTGCTACACACCACTCTCACCATGCCTCACACCACCGACCTTGCTACACACACCGCCCACCGTGCTACACACCACTCTCACCATGCCTCACACCACTCTCACCTGCCTCACACACCCACACCTTGCTACACACCACCCTCACCTTGCTACACACCACCCTCACCTTGCTACACATCACCCTCACCCTTGCTACACACCACCCTCACTTTGCTACACACACCCTCACCTTGCTACACACCACCCTCAGCTTGCTACACACACCCACACCTTGCTACCACCACCCATCACCTTGCTACACACCACCCTCACTTTGCTACACACCACCTCACCTTGCTACACACCACCCTCACCTTCTACACACCACCCTCACCTTGCTACACACCACCCTCACCTTGCTGCACACACCCCTCACCTTGCTACACACCACCCTCCCACCTGCTACACACCACCCTCACCTTGCTACACACCACCCTCACCTTGCTACACACCACCCTCACCTTCTACACACCACACTCACCTTGCTACATACCACCCTCACCTTGCTACACACCACCCTCACCTGCCATCACACCACCCACATCTTGCTACACACCACCCACACACCTTGCTACACACCACCCACACCTTGCTACACACCATCCTCACCTTGCTACTCACCACCCTCACCTGCTACACACCACCCTCACCTTGCTACACACCACCCTCACCTTGCTACCCACCACCCTCACCTTGCTACACACCACCCTCACCTTGCTACACACCACCCTCACTTTGCTACACACCACCCTCACCTTGCTACACACCACCCTCACCTTCTACACACCACCCATCACCTTGCTACACAACCACCCTCACCTTGCTGCACACCACCCTCACCTTGCTACACACCACCCACACCTTGCTACACACCATCCACACCTTGCTACTCACCACCCTCACCTTGCTACACACCACCCTCACCTTGCTACACACCACCCTCACCTTGCTACACACCACCCTCACCTTGCTACACACCACCCTCACCTTGCTACACACCACCCTCACTTTGCTACACACCACCCTCACCTTTGCTACACACCACCCTCACCTTGCCTACACACCACCCTCACCTTGCTACACACCACCCCACTTTGCTACACACCACCCTCACCTTGCTACACACCACCCTCACCTTGCTACACACCACCCTCACCTGCTACACACCACCCTCCACCTTGCTACACACCACCCTCACCTTGCTACACACCCCCTCACTTTGCTACACACCACCCTCACCTTGCTCACACCCACCCTCACCTCTCCTACACTACCCTCACCTTGCTCCACACCACCCTCCCCTTGCCTCACACCACCCTCACCTTGCCTCACACCACCCTCACCTTGCCTCACACCACCCTCACCTGCCTCCACATGACTCACCTTGCGTCACACCACCCTCACCCTGCCTCACACCATTTTCATCTTGCCTCACACCACCCTCACCTTGCCTCACACCACCTCACCTTGCTTCACACCACCCTCACCCTGCCTCACACGTCTTTCACCTTGCGTCACACCACCCTCACCTTGCCTCACACCACCCACACCTAGCCCCTCACCACCCTCAAATTGTCCTCATCTCACCCCTCACCACCCTCACCTTGCTTCACACCACCCTCACCTTGCCTCACACGTCTTTCACCTTGCGTCACACCACCCTCACCTTGCCTCACACCACCCACACCTAGCCCCTCACCACCCTCAAATTGTCCCATCTCTCCCTCACCACCCTCACCTTGCTTCACACCATCCTCACCCTGCCTCACACGTCTTTCACCTTGCGTCACACCACCCTCACCTTGCCTCACACCACCCACACCTAGCCCCTCACCACCCTCAAATTGTCCCTCATCTCTCCCCTCACCACCCTCACCTTGCTTCACACAACCCTCACCTTGTTTCACACCACCCTCACCTTGCTTCACACCTCTTCACATTGCTTCACACCACCTCACCTTACTTCACACCACATCGCCTTGCTTCACACCACCTCACTTTGCTACACACCACCTCACCTTGCTTCATATCACCTCACCTTGCTACACACCACCTCACCTTCCTACACACCACCTCACCTTGCTACACACCACCTCACCTTGCTTCACATCACCTCACCTTGCTTCACACACACCTCACCTTACTTCACACCACATCGCCTTGCTTTACACGCCTCACCTTGCTAACACACCACCTCACTTTGCTTTATACCACCTCACCTTGCTTCACACCACCTCACCTTGCTTCACACCACCTCACCTTGAACACACCACCTCACCTTGCTACACACCACCCTCACCTTGCTCACATCACCTCACCTTGGTACATACCACCTCACCTTGCTTTACACCACCTCACCTTGCTTCACACCACCTCCTCTTGCTTCACACCGCCTCACCGCCTCACCTTGCTTTACACCACCTCACCTTGCTTCACACCACCTCACCTTGCTTCAGGCCACCACACCTTGCTTCACACCACTTCACCTTGCTTCACACCACCTCACCTTGCATCCCACCACCTCACCTTGCTTCACACCATCCTCACCTTGCTATACACCACCTCACCTTGCTTCACACCACCTCACCTTGCATCCCACCACCTCACCTGCTTCACACCATCCTCACCTTGCTATACACCACCTCACCTTGCTTCACACCACCTCACCTTGCTTCACACCACCTCACCTTGCTTCACACCACCCTCACCTTGCTACACGCCACCTCACCTTGCTACACACCACCAAACACCACCTCACCTTGCTACACACCACCTCACCTTGCTTCACACACCACCTCACCTTGCTACACACCACCTCACCTTGCTTCACATCACCTCACCTTGCTTCACACCACCTCATCTTACTTCACACTACATCGCCTTGCTTCACACCACCTCACTTTGCTACACACCACCTCACCTTGCTTCACATCACCTCACCTTGCTTCACACCACCTCACCTTACTTCACACTACATCGCCTTGCCTCACACCACCTCACCTTGCTTCTCACCACCTCACCTTTCTTCACACCACCTCGCCTTGCCTCACACCACTCACCTTGCTTCACACCACCTCACCTTGCTTCACACCACCTCACCTTACTTCACACCACATCGCCTGCTTCACACCACCTCTCCTTGCTTTACACCGCCTCACCTTGCTACACACCACCTCACTTTGCTTTACACCACCTCACCTTGCTTCCCACCACCTCACCTGCTTCACACCACCTCACCTTGCTACACACCACCTCACCTTGCTACAACACCACCTCACCTTGCTTCACATCACCTCACCTTGGTACATACCACCTCACCTTGCTTTACACCACCTCACCTTGCTTTACACCACCTCACCTTGCTTCACACCACCTCACCTTGCTTCAGGCCACCACACCTTGCTTTACACCACTTCACCTTGCTTCACACCACCTCACCTTGCTACAGCGCCACCTCACATTGCTACACACCACCTCACCTTGCTTCACATCACCTCACCTTGCTACACACCACCTCACCTCGCTACACACCACCTCACCTTGCTACACACCACCTCACCTTGCTTCACACCACCTCTCCTTGCTACACACCACCTCACCTTGCTTCACATCACCTCACCTTGCTTCACACCACCTCACCTTACTTCACACCACATCGCCTTGCTTCACACCACCTCACTTTGCTACACACCACCTCACCTTGCTTCACACCACCTTACCTTGCTTCACATCACCTCACCTTGCTTCACACCACCTCACCTTGCCTCGCTCCATCCTCTCCACCTCCTGACCGACGTGCTTGTGGAAGTTAAAGTTACTCTCATCGTCGTAGTTCTCCAGCTTGTCTCTGTACGCTGAGATGAGTCGGTCCAGCGGGTGGCGAGTGAACAGGAACTTCTTGTATGTCTTCAACATCTCTTCCCGGCGAGCATCTGTCCACAGAACATTGTCACATCAGCACACATAAACTGTCCACAGAACATTGTCACATCAGCACACATAAACTGTTCACAGAACATTGTCACATCAGCACATATAAACTGTTCACAGAACATTGTCACATCAGCACACATAAACTGTCCACAGTTTATTATTATTTTCTTCTGCTCCTTCTTCTTCTTCTTCTTCTTCTTCTTCTTCTTCTTCTTCTTCTTCTTCTTCTTCTTTTCTTCTTCTTTCTCTTCTTATTATTATTATTATTATTATTATTATTATTATTATTATGATTATTATATGCTTTTTCACACCGATGGTCTCCCACAATGGCAGGATGACACAGAAAGAGCAATAATTTCACCATAAATTTTTTAATCTTTATCTTGCCAGAATTGCGGAGACATCGTAATTCATCTGAGTCTTTGATGAAACACTGCAGCCCGTCCTTCAGTGTCCACCCACAACACTGCTCACCCCCATGATTAAACTCCGGATAACCATTTTCCCTCTATCCTATTATAAATTTTTACTTTATATTCAAACAGCACGTCAGGCTATAAATTCATTAGTCTTCACTTTGATCGAGCGTGCTCACATGAACCTGCTGCGTATTCAAGCCAATAGCTCTGAAAACCTTCTTTACCCTCCATTTCTTCCTGGGATCACTTCAACCCTATGTTTAGAGTGCAGGCACTGTACTACCCACCTCCAGGATTCAAGTCCAGCTAACCAGTATGCCTGAGTTCCATCATAAACTTAACCTTGTTCCTACTCCCACAGCACGTCAAGCCATAAAAAAACACTGTATCTCCACTTACTTAAAATGCTCACACTAGCCTGCTGCGTTATCGGGCTCTAGCATTCAAAACCTTGACACCTTCCTCTAACCCTTTCCTGGCCCATGTAGACGGTTGATGAAGGGTTATTGAAGTGGTTTGTTCATACAGAAAGGATACAGGATCAATTTGTGAACATTTTCAAAGTATTGGAAAAAATGTATTAAAATAAACCTTGAGTGGAATACACTGCAATGTGTGACAACCGATGGAGGAAAGAATATGTCTAGGGTGAAGAAAGGTTTGGTAGGACAAATCACAAAAGCTTGAGAGGATGCGTTATCTCTCAGCAAACCAGCAAGCATTGTGCGGAAAATATGTAGATATGTCTTACGTTCTGAGACCTGTTGTTTCAACAGTGAATTTCATTCGATCTCACGGACTTAATCATCGCCAATTTCGTGATTTTCTGAAAGAATCTGATTTGTTGAGTTGCTTTATTATACAGCGGTACGATGGCTTAGTTGTGGAAAGGTTCTATCGTGGTTCTTTCAGCTCAGAAAAGAAGTTGATTCTTTTCTCACAGAAAAGAATCGACCCGAACCACTTTTATCATACACTGATTGGCTTTGGAAGTTGACATTTTTTTTTTTTGCAGATTTAACAAGCCACATGAATCAATTGAATCTGAAGTTGTAAAGCGAAAAAAATTGATTTGTTATCTATTCACGCTATTTGAAGGACAAGTGAAAGTTTCTAACTTGGTTCATTTCCCATGTTGTGAAAAATTTCATGAAGAAAGTGAAGCAGAATTTCCATCTTTATTTGCAACATAAATGATGAATTACTTGCAAAAACAATTTTAGAAACTGTTTTCTGATCATGATGGAAAAATTTTTTGAAATAAAGCTATCTCAAAATCCACTTGACTGCAGTGTTGAGACACTTCCAAGTCGGTTTTAAATGGAAATTATTGATCTCCAATCAGATGACATGTGAAAAAAAAGTCTAAAGAAGGAAATCTGATCTGGTAATATAAATTTTACATCCTGAACAGTTTCCAAATTTGAAGCAATTTGGGTGTGGATCTGTATCAGGTTTTAGTATAATGTACCTTTGTGAAGAAACATTTTAAAAAATGAAGTGTCAAGCCCAAATATCGCACAAATTCGCCTGATGAGCATTTGAAATCCATTCTAATAATTGATTCTTCAAGCTTGAAACCTCATTTCAGCAATATTTTGAAGTTAGAAAACCAGTTCCATCATTCCCATTAATCTTGTGTCAGCTTTTCTCATTTGCAGTTCGATAATTGATTATACTGTCAGAGCATTGGCTTATGTTTGACATTTTTACTAATGTATCATTTCTCAGCTTAAGCAGAATATTGTTTCTTCGTTCGTATTTGTCAAATTTCTCTTGTTCTGAATCTTATTATGCTGATTACAAAAAGAATCCAAATAAAACTTAATCATTCATTTACATTTATTTGTAAGACCGATTATTTTCTTTTACCAGTGAAAATGTGTAAAATATACGATGTGGCCTTCATAGTGAAAAGTTTGGAGACTCCTGATATAACGCATTTCTGTCATGTTTCAAAAGTGAGGATTCAATTATGCGTCTTTCCATGATGGAAATGTTGGGTACAATGATCTGGGCAGCAGTGCACCCTGGTGGGTGACTGCAAGAACTGACATGGATGAATGTAGCATTCAACTCCTGGCCCATTCTGATTGAGTACTGATGTTGGGATAATCTGGTTTTCAGTGGTTTACCAGTATGTCCAATGTACGACTGCATAGAACATTGTAAACACCAAAACTATTAAACGGAGTGCTCTTAATCAACCTCAGTTTCACCGTACCATTGTTTTTGAAGACAATATTTATGTTGAACTTTTTAAGTGCCCCACGCAAATGGCTAAATTTTCATTGTAGTATAAAACCAGTACATTTTTCATGGAAGGCATTTCTTTAGGTTCAGTTCTGTAGAAAGTCTTCCTAATTGACACTAGGGCCGTCTCAACAAAATTCCTGGGATATCTCAGTTTTATGGCTATGTTAAATATCTTAATGATTTTATCTTCAAACAGCAACGACCATATGGCAATATTGCACTCTTTATTTTGTTATTGTTTTTAGAGAAACATGAGGTCTTCACGAAGAGTCTACTTAAAAAATACCAATGCATTTTGCTACATTTGTGGCGCCTACACTTTGCAAAAACAAAGAAAAGTCATCACAGTCTTTGCAAAAAAAGGTATGGGTGTGAAGCATGGGTGATGGATGTTGCAACGAGGAGAAGGCTGGAGGTAGTGGAGGGCAATTTGTGGTGTGAATATAATGCAGAGAATTCGTAGTTTGGAAATTAGATGGTGTGGGATTACCAAAACTATTGTCCAGAGGGCTGAGGAGGAGTTGTTGAGGTGGTTCAGACATGTAGAGAGACTGGAACGAAACAGAATAACTTCGAGAATGTATAAATCTGTAGTGGAGGGAAGGCGGGGTAGGTGCCGGCCTAGAAAGGGTTGGAGGGAGGGGGTAAAGGAAGTTTTGTGTGTGAGGGGCTTGGACTTCCAGCAAATGTGCGTGAGCGTATTTGATAGGAGTGAATGGAGACGGATGGTTTTTAATACTTGACGTGCTGTTGGAGTGTGAGCAAAGTAACATTTATGAAGGGGTTCAGGGAAACCGGCAGGCCGGACTTGAGTCCTGGAGATGGGAAGTACAGTGCCTGCACTCTGAAGGAGGGGTGTTAATGTTGCAGTTTAAAAACTGTAGTGTAAAGCACCCTTCTGGCAAGACAGTGATGGAGTGAATGATGGTGAAAGTTTCTCTTTTTCGGGCCACCCTGCCTTGGTGGGTCACACTGCCTTGGTGGGTCACACTGCCTTGGTGGGTCACCCTGCCTTGGTGGGTCACACTGCCTTGGTGGGTCACCCTGCCTTGGTGGGTCACCCTGCCTTGGTGGGTCACCCTGCCTTGGTGGGTCACCCTGCCTTGGTGGGTCACACTGCCTTGGTGGGTCACCCTGCCTTGGTGGGTCACACTGCCTTGGTGGGTCACCCTGCCTTGGTGGGTCACCCTGCCTTGGTGGGTCACACTGCCTTGGTGGGTCATCCTGCCTTGGTGGGTCACACTGCCTTGGTGGGTCACACTGCCATGGTGGGTCACCCTGCCTTGGTGGGTCACCCTGCCTTGGTGGGTCACCCTGCCTTGGTGGGTCACCCTGCCTTGGTGGGTCACCCTGCCTTGGTGGGTCACACTGCCTTGGTGGGTCACCCTGCCTTGGTGGGTCACCCTGCCTTGGTGGGTCACACTGCCTTGGTGGGTCACCCTGCCTTGGTGGGTCACCCTGCCTTGGTGGGTCACCCTGCCTTGGTGGGTCACCCTGCCTTGGTGGGTCACCCTGCCTTGGTGGGTCACACTGCCTTGGTGGGTCACCCTGCCTTTGTGGGTCACACTGCCTTGGTGGGTCACCCTGCCTTGGTGGGTCACCCTGCCTTGGTGGGTCACCCTGCCTTGGTGGGTCACACTGCCTTGGTGGGTCACCCTGCCTTTGTGGGTCACACTGCCTTGGTGGGTCACCCTGCCTTGGTGGGTCACACTGCCTTGGTGGGTCACCCTGCCTTGGTGGGTCACACCGCCTTGGTGGGTCAACCTGCCTTGGTGGGTCACTGCCTTGGTGGGTCACCCTGCCTTGGTGGGTCACACTGCCTTGGTGGGTCACCCTGCCTTGGTGGGAATCGTCCGATGTGTTAATAAAAAGAAATAAATACATTACATTTATCGCCTCTCGAGAGATGTAAAGTCTGATCGTTACTGTGCTTTTTGTATGCATTTTTGAACCTTAGTGGGCAGCTGGGAAACACAGGGTGGAGTCAAGTCCCATATACTATCCCTTTACAGATGTTTAATATGTCAAGTGTTAAGTCACCATGCTATCTTAGCATGCGAAACGACTTTGGTAGGTTTACATAATTAACAGGCTAAGTTGTGGGCGCGAAACTGAATCCAAACCCTAGCGTTGCTAACTGATTATTACTTATGTGTTTTTGCTAGACAAGTTGATAACAAACTCAGGATTGGCATGTGTGGTCCAGCCACTCTGTGCTATAAGACTATTTAATTTCCTAGCATGAATACGTTCGGTGTTCTGCCTTACTCTTCTAAACTCCCTGTATATATATAATTAAGTAGGCACTCCTGCCAGCCTGAGGGAGTCTTATTGAAATATACTGTCTTGGCTCTCTTCATTTCTATACAAGGTAGGTTCTTCTCATGTCGCACTAGTTCAATATTTTTAGTAAGCACTAATCTGTGCAGCTGGTCGAAAGGTGTGGTAGCTAGCCTGACCAACATGTTCTGTGGTAGAGATTTCGATAGTACCTGTTAACTTACGCTGTTTGAAATGCTCTGCATAACCAGGGGCATTACAAATAGTATGTCACTGATGTCAGCTAGGCTTGTATAAGTTGTATCATCTATGACATAAAGAGAGCCACTTGTTATCCATAGCATTTCGGGCAAATTAGGTCAGTTTTGACCCAGGATGCGACTCACACCAGTTAACTAACACCCAGGTACCCATTTTATACTGATGGGTGAACATGGATAGCAGGTGTCTTATGGAAACACGTCCTAATGTTTTCCAAACGTATGGAGATTCGAACTCCGGACCTCAGTGTGTGAGGTGAGTGCGCTAACGATCGAGCTACGGGACACCCCGTACTGTCACCAGCAAGACCCAGAGCCACATTGCCATTGTTATCGAAATGACCAGACACCTACAGGAGTTGGACTGTTTACGACTGACCTGGAAACATTGTGCTGGCCAAGTTAGGGAGGAAGGGGCCGTGAACCTGCGCCCTAGTTAGGGCCATGATGTCGTCGTCTTCATCCAACAAACCTGCCAGCCAGAACCACACGCGTTTCCACGACGTACACGCTACCTGTGGAGGAAGACAGCGGTTATGGCACTTTACTTTGAGGATGATGCTGCTGCCTAGGGAGATAAAAACAACGTTGCTTAAACTCTCTCTGGTGTTACCTGAATATGACACGAAGTTATCTACATGATACATGGCCGCGGAACTTTGTGTTACCTTCATTTTATTTCCTTTGCGCTATCTATGAATGAAGAACGGGTAATAATATGCAAAGTTAAATGAGAGGCTGCCACAGTGAAAATCTCTGTTCCCCAGGGCACAGTACTTCCTTCCATCCTTTTTCTATTTCCTCATATCTGATAGAGTATCATCCTTTGCAGACGATACTAGAATCTGCATAAATGTCATTCAGAAGGAATTTAAGGGGATTTCAGTGAGGAGAATTAGGTCAGGAGTATCTGAGAGAGTTAGAGCCAAAAAAGGTGTAGCATTATTGTTGAAGGATTAGCTATGGCAGGATAAAAGGTAATATAAATATATAAATTCAATGATTATGTGGATTAAAATAAGGGTCGGATGCGAAAAATGGGTTATAATAAGTGTCTATGCACCTGGAGAAGAGAGGAATATACATGAAAAAGAGAGAGATTTGGGGAGATTTTGAGTGTTTAGGGAGCTTGGAACCAAGTGAGAGAGTAACTGTGTTTGGGGGTTTGAATACAAAAGTGGAAGAAATGGTTATAGAAGGCGTGGTAAATGAATTTGGGGTGCCAGGGGTGAATAATAATGGGGTTCGTTGATTGAACTTAATAGAGAAAGAGGTTCGGCAATATTTAATGTATATTTTAAGATATGATATAGGGCGTAAAGAAAGTAGTTTGTTGGACTATGTATTGGTGGATAAAAGGTTGATAGGCAGAATTCGGGATGTGCATATTTATTGAGGGGCAATAGATATATCAGACCACTTTTTAGTTGTAGCTACAGTTAGAATAAAAGGTAGATGGGGTACAAGGAGAAATGTATCAGAAAGTAAGAGAGAGAGGTGAAGGTTTATAAACAAGAGAAGGCAGTTAGGATTAAGATATAAGCAACTATTGACAAGAAGATGAGCTAGTGAGAGTATAGGCAATGAGGATGAAGAGGTATTGGGTAGATTTAAAATTCAGTGTTAGATTGTTCAGCAGAAATTTGTGGATATAGGAGGATGGGTGTGGGAAGGAAGAGGAGTGATTGTTAAATGTTGATAAAGACAGGAAAGCTGTGATTTCGTGCATTGGCCAGGGAGGTATAACGTCTTGTAGAAGTGAAGAACAGGCAGTTATGAATGAGGGGGAGGTGCGTGAGGCAGTTGGTAGAATGAAAGGGGGTAAAGCAGCTGGGATTGATGGGATCAAGACATAAATGTTAAAAGCAGTTTGGGATATAATTTTGGAATGGTTAGTGCTTTTATTTACTGTATGAAAAGTGAGAAGGTACTTAGGGATTGGAAGAGAGCATATATAATTCCTTTATATAAAGGCAAAGGGAACAAAAGAGTAAAAATTATAGGGAACTAAGCCTGATGAGTATACCTTGTAAACTGTATGGTAGAGTTATCATTGAAAGAATTAAGAGGAATAGAAAGCAGGATCGCAGATGAACAAGGAAGGGTAGGGGGTGTGTAGACCAAGTGTTTACAGTGAAGCATATAAGTGAACAGTATTTAAATAAGGGCAAAAAGGTTTTCGTTGCATTCATGGATTTGGAAAAGGAATATGATAGGATGGATACAGAAGCAATGCAGGAGATTTTGCAAATGTGTGAAATAGGTGGTAGGTTACTGAAAGCAGTTAAAAGATTTTACGGGACAGTGAAGTTCAGGTTAGAGTAATTAGGAGAGAGGGAGATTATTTCCCAGTAAAACTAAGCCTTAGACAGTTATGCATGATGTCACCATCACCGTGGCTGTTCAAGATATTTATGAAGTTGTAAGAACAGTGAATGCTCGGGTGTTGGCAAAAGGTATGGGATTAAAAGATAAAGAATCTAGCATAAAGTGGGACTTGCCACAGTTGCTTTTTGCTGATGACACTGTGCTTTTGAAAGGTTCTGAAGAGAAGTTGCAGAGGTTGGTGGACAAGTTTGGGAGGGTCTGTAAAAGAAGAAAATTAAAAGTAAACAAAGTTAAGAGTAAAGTAATGAGGCTAACAAAAAAATGTGGGTAGTGAATGACTGGATATCAGACTAGAGGGAGGGAGTATGGAGGAAGTGTATGTGTTCAAAGATTTGGTAGTGGACTTGTCAGCAGATGGGTCTATGAAAGACGAGGTGAACCATAAAACAGATGAGGGGGGGAAAAGGTGAGTTGTGCACTGGGGAGTCTGTGGAGACAATGAACGATATCCATGGAAGCAAAGACGGAATGTATGAGAGAATAGTGGTACCAATGCTCTTATATGGGTATGAAGCATGGGTGGTGAATGTTGCAACAGTGAGAAGGCTGGTGGTAGTGGAGATGTTGTGTGTGAGGACAATGTGTGGTGTGAATAGTATGCAGAGAATTCGTAGCCTTGAAATTAGAAATAGGAACAGGGTTTCTAAAAGATCTGAAGGGCTTAGGAGGGGTTGTTAATTTGGTTTGGATATTTAGAGAAGATGGGACTAAATAGGATGACTTGGAGAGCGTATAATTCTGTAATGGAAGGAAGGCGGGATTGGGGTTATCCTAGGAAAGTTTGAAGGGAGGGGGTAAAGGAGGTTTTGTGTCACATAGTCCATCATTTCTTGTACTGGTTTTCCTGTCAGTTCTCTCTCCCACTGAATGTCTTGCAGGAAGTTCCTCATGCCTGAGTAGTCCCCCCTTTTGTTCTTTGGTTTCTCCCATCCTATTCCTGCTACTCTCTCCTCTTGAAGCTCAACTATGTAGTCAAAACACAGAACCACATAATCACTAGCTCCCAGGGGCCTTTCATACATGATGTCCTGGATGTCTGAACTACTCAAGGTGAATACAAGGTCCAGTTTTGCTGGATCATCCTCACCTCTCTCTCTGGTAGTGTCTCTAACATGTTGATGCATGAGGTTTTCCAGTACCACATCCATTATCTTGGCTCTCCATGTTTCGGGACCCCCGTGTGGCTCCAGGTTTTCCCAGTCAATCTCCTTGTGATTGAAATCACCAATAACTAGTAACTTTGCTCACCCCATGTGAGCTCTTCTGGCCACCTCAGCTAGTGTGTCGACCATTGCTCTGTTACTGTCATCGTCATCTTGGCCTCCTGCAGTGCTGTGGTGGGTTGTACATTACTGCAATTATCACCTTATGGCCCTCAAACTGGATTGTTCCTACTAAGTAGTCCCTTTTGCCCATGCCATCCATTCCTTCCATTTTCTCAAAACCCCACTGGTTTTTAATGAGCAGTGCAACTCCTCCTCCCCCTCTCCTCCCTCTGTCTTTCCTGAGGATTTGATATCCAGGTGGAAAGATTGCATCTGTTATCATTCTGGTGAGTTTTGTTTCTGTGAGTGCTGTTACGTCTGGGGATATCTCCTTGATTCTTTCATGCCACTCCTCACACTTATTTGTTATTCCATCTGCATTTGTATACCACACCTTCGACTTCTTTTCTAAGACTGTGGTCTGGGGGGTACATTGGGGTTGGGGAAGTGGGAGACCTGATTAGGAACTATGGTGGTTGCTGTGGGGGTGGAGTTTGTAATGAGGTGGGTGGGGGCATTGGATATGGCATGGGTGTTTTGGTTTAGAATGTTTGGTTGCACTGGGGTTGACCTGGTTGGGAGGCTTCTGTAGGTAGTTGTAAGGGAGGCTGTATTTGATCTTCCTGAGTTTGGGATTTCCTGTCTGTCTCTATCTCCATCTTCTCCTCTCTTTCATCCTTTCGCCTTTGCACCATCTCTCTCAGTTTCTGCCTTTCTTCTTGTGTTCTGTCGCAGTAAAGATACACCTTCCGGTATGCTGGCATGTCCCTTAGTCTTGCTTTCTCCTGCAGGATCCTGTTCCGAGTCGATTCTGCCTTGAAAGTCACTTTCACTGACCGGGTTCTTTTTCTTGCAAACCCCCCTATTTTCCAAAAATTTTTGAACTGGGTCATGTCATCTCCTATTGCTTTTATGATGCTTTGGATTGAATTTTTTTCCCCTTGTTTTATTGCTTCATAAGTTTCTCCTTCAACTTCCTAGAGCCCATACACAAAGACTGACCTTTTCCTTTCATTCTCCCACTGCATATTCCTATATATCCACTGATTCGATTTAATTTCCTCCATTGCAGCTTTCCTTTCTTCAGTTTCACTATCTATTGTACTTGGACTCAGTGGTCTGTCATTTTCCTTTCTCAGCTTTCCCTAGGGTCTGCTGTGGTCTGTTAGGACCTCAACATAAGAACATAAGAACATAAGAAAGAAGGAACACTGCAACAGGCCTACTGACCCATGCCACCAGGCCACCAGGCCCGATTGCCTGGTGGCTAAAGCTCCCGCTTCACACACGGAGGGCCCGGGTTCGATTCCCAGCGGGTGGAAACATTTCGACACGTTTCCTTACACCTGTTGTCCTGTTCACCTAGCAGCAAATAGGTACCTGGGTGTTAGTCGACTGGTGTGGGTCGCATCCTGGGGGACAAGATTAAGGACCCCAATGGAAATAAGTTAGACAGTCCTCGATGACGCACTGACTTTCTTGGGTTATCCTGGGTGGCTAATCCTCCGGGGTCAAAAATCCGAACGAAATCTCTCTCTTCATTTACTACAGTCCCCTCTGACAGGGCTTCTACATGCAGTTTTGATCCTTTGTTCCCTACAGTCCCCTTGTTTGTGACTGAGGTAGCAGTCTCTGATGTCATTCCCAATTTGTTCTTTAGTTCTTTAGGCTGTTTCAGATTTTTCAGCTCCTCTTCTAATCTCTGTATCCTAGTCTCTTCTGCTATGACTTGCATCTCCCACTTCTTACTTTCCATATCTATCCTCTCTTCCATTCTCATGCTAAGTTCTTATAGTTTCTTTCCCCATTCATGTTCCCTTTCCATGAGCACTGCTGCCCAATCTTCCTTTGCAGATTCATCC